ACCCCCGTCCCCAAGTTTTGGTTGCTTGCGACACCCCTGGTAATGGTATTGGCATAAAAGAAAAATAGACAGGCCTTTCCAGGCAGGCCAGGCAGGCCGAAGAAAATGCCAGGCAGGCAGGTCAGGCCAAACAAATAAGTTGGCAGGCACAGGCAGGCTTGAAATTCAGAGGCCTGTCATAGGCCGGCCAGGCCTGCAAAAATGCGGCCTGGTTGGACCTCTGCTGGGTAGTGTCAACAAGACCTATTCGTAGCCATAATATGAAGTTCAACGGCGTCCTACAATTTAGTATGTTCCCCACATGAGAGAAATTTTCTAACCTTGTAGGATACAGTAGGATAGAAGATACTAGAAAACCTAACAATTTTACAATGAATGAGTTCGATTAAGAACATTCTTTATGAAAATTTTGAACTTGAAAATCAATCTTTATCATTAAAACCAAAAACGATTCATGTATATGGGAAACAAATGAATTCATAAGCTTAAATTTGAATATTTTCAAATTTAAAAAGAAAATCAATTGATAAATCTCACTTACTAAATTCTTTCGATTGATTAAGATGTTTTAATGATGAATTAATTGATTCTCTTTCTGTTCGTAAATAATTTAATTTTATATATAAATCTTTTCGTTGTTGTTCAAGATTTTCTACAAGATTTTTTTCTTGTATTGTACGTTTTTGGATATCATTTATTGATTGATCAATTGTTTGAATATTCGTATTTGCTTGATTAACTTTTCTTTGATTTGTTTGTACTGTATCATCCATACTTTGTAATTCAAGTCCAATTGCTTTTTCACGTGATTTTAAATCATTTATTTGTTCAAGTAAACGAGATTTTTGTGCTGATAATTCTTGCATACGTTGACGTTCCCATTCCAAACGACTTTTACGTTCCATTTCTTTTCGTGCAGCCTAAAAATAAATCAATGTATACATATGAATTATGTCTGGACACGAAAAACTAATTGAAAATATACAAAAAAGAAATTATATATTTTATAAATCAAGTGTCATAAAAAAATTGTTCATGCATAACACAGAACAAATGATTTTGGTTTTCTTTTGCATGAATATGACTCAAACTCGTCTTATTAGATATAAAGACGTGATCTCCTGATTCATGCATAAGATCATAAATAGATTTTATTGAATTTACTTCTCGTTGTTCAAATAATTTTCTTCGTTCTTCTTCTTTATGATGTTCAATTTGTCTTTGTCTTTCTAATTGTCGTTCAGATTCCATTTGCTTTCGACGTTCTTGTTCATCTTTTTGTTTTTGTAATTCTAATTCACGTTTACGTTCTATGATGAAATAATTTATTATTAGATAGAAAAAGAAAAAAAACAAAATATTTATTTACCTCGTTCTTCACGTTCTCTTTGTTCACGTTCTTCGTGTTCACGTAATAATTGTCGACGTCGTTCTAATTCTTTAAAACCATCCTAAAAGAAAAATATTTAATTTGTTGAAATCTATAAATTATGAATACAAACTTCATAATTCTTTTGACGTTTGTCTTCATAAGATACAATGCTATTTTTTCGTTCAGGTTCTTCTGTTTCAGGTGAATGATTTTCCGTTGTAATCGTTGATTTAAATGCATCTTTAATTTCCTGATTAATATTGACTAATGCTGGATAAATATTGGGTTTTACTAATGAACCTGTACGTTGATGTTGTGCTGTATTTCCATTTAACCAGTCGTCAGGTAAACGAGATGGTAAAATTTGACCAGCACGTACAACATCACAACAATGCATCGCAATCACGAATTCATCAGGTGTTAAACGACCATCTTTATCATGATCAGCTAAATTCCTAAAATGGGAAAATCTCTTTGAAATTAAATTATATGAGGATTATAAAGTTTTAAAAACAATCTGTTGCATATACTTTAGAAAATTAGTTCTTATTTCAATTATCAAATATATTTCTTGAATTACAAATGGATAGAACAAAAAAAATGATTCTTCCAAATTAAGAAGTTGCAGATCTTTCCAGACCTGAGTTTAACTTCAAAATAACAGAAATGTGCAGCTCCCCCTATTTCAGATGCTAATATTTATGCATTTTATTGATGAATTAAGTATAGACCGAATCAGTTTTTCTGTCTTATTGTGTTCCAAAAGCAAAAGTTTTATACCAATTTTCAAATGAGAGAAAATAGATTTGATTGATTCATTTTACATAGGTATTAGACAAAGTTGAGATCTAGTTTGTTAGCCGCCATGACTGAATGGCTATGTTGTTCGATACGTATTCATAAGATACTAACAGTTATGAAATAATTCTGAACAAGTCAATAACAGCTATTTGTCCCTGAATTATGTGTCCTATAGCATGCAGATTACGTTGAAACATAGATCTGTTCCTCTGGTTAGTTACTGTGCATTTCGCAAGAATTTTGCCCCCAGAACTACAGCTAGATAGCATCTGACGCCATAAGATAGCTGAAAACCACGAGTATTCATCTTCTTTCTATTTTATTTCAGCAAATTGAGACCAAAAACAGAAGAAAAAGTCTTCAATCTCATGCTTTTTTAACAATATTTTTCATCGATATTTATGCATTTTCTATGATAGAATAATAATTGTCTTCTCTCAAAATTTAATACTTTAAAAAAATCATTGCCGATGTCCAGATAAAAGAAATCATCGATGCATATATTACAACATGAATAAGTGAAAATGAAGAATGTTTCTAGCTAAAAGAAACATAGCACGTGTCATGTTTTCTTAATTCAAACAAAAATTAAAATTTATTTTTAAATAAAATAAAACTATTACATAGTTTTACGCCTAACTAAAAACGAAATTCTGCACATGACATTGCTCCTGTTTAGTAACAGTTTAAAGACTTATTGAATGAGAATACCAATCATTGTAAATAATCTCAACAACGAAGTTAAAATGTTTGACTTCAGCTTGTACTACGACAGTTTATCATAAAATGAGAAAAATAGTATTTGGATTTTTTCTTATCTAACGATTATCAATAATACGAATAAAAAACCTTCAAAATCAACTTGAATATTATCTATATTAGACTGGATTAAACTTAAGTTGATTACAAAGTGCTAGATTTCGACGTTAGAAACTAAGATCTCGTCATAAAAAATAGCTTCCACTCTTTCTGTAGTCGTTAAAGTCTATCTTTCATACTTAATTTACTAAGTTATTCAATCAAAATATATATATATACATTAGCACTGTGGTTACATTATGTCAATAGTATGAATTGTCCTGCGGTAATTCGTCTTGCGATGTGTAATCTTAGCATTCGGAGGAGAGAAAATTATAGATAAAGAAATGAATCAGAACGAAAATATCAATAATCAAGAGAAAAGGTTTTGTGTAAAAAAAAATAATACGGATAAGCAACAAACATTAGCAAATATGGATACCAATATCTTCCTGGCATTTTCCTTGAAATGACTTGAAGCAAAAGAAATGTCAGCAATACGACTGATACCTATCCTTAGAATAATGAACGAGAGTAATGTAAAATTTCTATTGAATAATTTTGATTTTGTCAATCAATTCTATGCTCTCTTTTGTCTATTAAGATTCATAGATGTTCACTTCGATGATTACTTAAATAGATCTACGTTATTTTTCCTTAGCATCGTGTAAAAATACGTTTTTAATCATGCAGATAGTCATTAAATAACCATTTTATAGAATATTTATCCGATTCGTTTTTCCTCGCATATCATCTTTTATTAAGTCATTTTCTTTGATCAATATAATTGTTTATTTACTTTGACCAGTCATTAAATAAATATATCTATCAGTCAATTTTGTTTTCATACTCATCTGCCATTAATAATTCCTATGTCTATAGAATCAAGAATGTTATAATAATGACTTTGTTTTTTTTTTTGTCCAGCCGCAGAAGATGATTGATCGATATTTTGACGTCAACAAGTTTCATAATACCTAGAGCAATTTATAATGCTTAGTAAGCACACATAAATGATCCTGAATAGTCTCTAAAATGGTAGATTACTCGTTTCAAGGGTGTTCTTATTTTCAAACAATGATTTCCTTTTACATTTGACTATGTTTACAGTATTAGAATGTATGTAATTTAATCACTACAAGAGAAATATTTCTCAGTTAATCGAAACTAAACTCAAAGTTTTTTCTCATTAAGAATTTAATGATAATTCCATTATTTAAGCAATATAATTTACCATATTTGCTGAAGTACTGTTTGTGATAAACCAGTTTTTTGAAGAAGATTTCTTGCTTGTAAACCACTCATAAATCCATTTGTTTTTGTTGCATCAACTAATGAATGAAATTGTTGAAGATATTTTGAGCGAATTGTTGGTGTTAATGGTGCAGGTGGAATAACAACTGATTTTAAAGGTTGACTAAAACTAGAAAAAAAAATCATTAAGAAACAAAATTTAATCGATTATTTATTTTCTACATACGTCGCAACTAATGGTTGGCTCGGAACTATAAAACAAAAATAGTTGATTATTATATAAACAATATGAGTAGAGCAAAAGGTTAACAAAAGCATTATTCAAGTCAATATACACAATACATATCTATCTTACCACTCCAACTATTGACTGGTCCTTTAATATGAAAAATTTTATTGCAATGCTTTGATTTTAGATATCTGAGAGAAAGAAAAAAGATTAAGACGAAATAACTTACGAGCTATTGACAATGAAGACATAAGCGGTGGTACACCATTTGCTGTTATTGCAATTGCATCGGAGAGAAGAGTTGGTGGAAGGTTTTGTGGTAGTGGTCCTTTTTTCTGAACCTTAAATAATAACGATTAAATACACTGTATAGAAAAAAAAAAGAATTTTATTTTTATTTACTTGAGATGAAATTAAATGACAAGCAATAGTGAATTCTCGCTTATCTAAACGACCATCGGCTGTCATATCTGATAGATTCCTAGAGAAAAAAAACAACGATGTATAATTATTCTTTCGTTTTTGAAAAAAAAAATTAACCATATTTTATGAAGAATATCTCCAGGTAAACCTGATTTTAGAAAAAAATTTCGTGCTTGATCACCTTGATAAAAATAAAACAATAGTTTTTTGTAGAAAATTTTATTTGAAATATTTTTTAAACTATACCCGTTACATAACCTTGTATTGGGTTACATTGTTGAAAGTACAAATCGTACTTTGCCCGTTCCTCGGCATTGATTCTCCAATCACCTGCATACATATATTATTTTTAATATTTACGTTGACTTTAGTACTATTTTCATACCTGCCATATGCAAAATTTTGTTGTTATCTCATCATAAAAATAAATTCGAATACGAGAAAAAAAATGAATATTCTTGTATAAAAATCTATAATCAACGTATATAATCAATCTCTACCGAGATTGAGATCAAATTTCTTGAGATGAAAACGAAGAAGAACGAGAAAAGAAAAAGTAAACAACAACTGTTCACCTTGCAGTAAAACACGCATACACACGTTTATGCTATTCTACGGTATGAGAAGAAAAGAAAAGAATGAGAAAAGATCGGATACACTGGCCATTGGTATGTAGGAGGAAAGTGTATGGTTAAAACAATATGGCTTTATTAGTAGATGTCACTCAATAACATAAAAATATAACTTTTTCGAAAAAGAAAAAAACCTATAAAGAAAAATATTAAACCATCATCTTACTAATGATGATATTCAATTGACTAAATACAAATCATTGAACAAATTAACATAGAGTTCTTGCAACGTCATTAAGTGTACATAGAATATTTTCTCAAAGTAATTTTCTATTTCGACAATACATGACAAAAATGTCAAGAAAGACATTACAAATGTTAACTAGGCTAAAATTTTGATTAGAGATCTATGTAACACTTTTTTCAGTAAATTTTTATATCATTCAGCTAAAATACACTTAAATGCTTCTTATTTTCAACTCACATTTTGGACTACATCGAAATATTACAGTTCAGAAAAAATTCATAACTTATGTCAACAGATGTGCACTTAAAGAAACATGCCAAAATTTGTTTTTATTTAATTTTGATTATTGAAAGAAGATTTTTCAATCGACTTGACTGAAAAAAAAAGAATAACGATGAAACAACCTTATTCACAAAAAAAAAATTGGAGTTACGTTGTGAGTAGTGCCTGGCGTGACTCACGGCAGTCACGGTCACGATCACGGTCACGGCCGTGACCGTGACCAATACTTTGTGAACGTTCGTGACCGTGGCCGTGACCGTGACTGGAGCTTGGTCACGGTTAGGCATGAGAACTTTTTCGAAATTTTGGAAACCCCCGAGGGGGAGTAGGGAGACCTGCGCGAAACTACCCCTCCTCACTCGGTCGTCGGTTTTTATGAAAAATTGGGAAGTTTCTAGTATTCGTGATTTTGGAAACCCCTGAGGAGAAGTACGGGCACCTCCGCGAAGCTACCNTCTCTCCCTTCTCTTCTTATTTGTAAGAATAAAGTCAATTATCCAATGATTATAAGAAAATAAACATAGCGCCATATGAAATCTATCAAAAATTATATGGAAAATTATAATGGAAAGGAAATTTAAAAAAAATATTACAATTCGGAAAGAATCGGAAAAAAATCAAGAATTCGGATAAATTCGGAAAGTCGGAAGGCAGTCGGAAAAACTTAGGAAATTCAGAAAATTCCGACTAATTCGGACGATCTGGCAACCCTGTCTGGGATCCTTGGGAATACTTTTAATGAACTCCTCAGAGGCTAATTAGTCGAGTTAGGTCAATACATGACGGGGGGTCGATAAGTGTGTTTGTCCCCGACATTTTTCTATAATCACCTCTCAGGAAGGTTCAGCATAGCGAATGAAAAATACAGATACATCAAAAGAAATGACAACAAAAAATAGACGATATGCTTAAATATAATAACTTAAAACAAAAAGCAATTGTTGAATATATCGATATCGTTGAACCAAGCATAAGAAGCAAGCAAGCATGTAAATAAATGTGATCTATGAAGTTAATATAAATTGTCAATAAGATTAAAAGTGAGACGAAGTCGGAAACTTACAACTGAAAATTTCATCTATTTATTGCAATATTTAATTATTTGACAACGTTTTTGTTTTTTCAAAGATAAAGAACAAGCATACATGAGCAATGTTTCTAGATGATGATATCTTATCTTAATAACCAGGCATATGGTATTAAGGTATCTTTTGATAGAAATAATCTGATTGAATCAATACAGTTGTTCTGTCTACTATTATCAGTTCAACACAATTCCTTACAATCAAATTATGAATCTATCATAAATCTTTCAATACAAACAAATATCTCACTTATATAAATATCTTTTTCGTTGTATGATTATGAACTTTTCACTTTTCAAAGAATAAAATCTTGTTTTAATATATTTCTATTCATACATTATTATTCTCATTCTGAATAAAAAACGGTGACAATTACTACAGCTAACAAAAAAAACATCTACTAGCTTTATATAAAAAAGATGTATAATATACAAAAGAAAACAAAAAAACCAAACTGACTGAGATTATTGAAATTTGACTATGAATAAAAAAAAAACACATAAACTATTTATTTATACATCGCCTTCGACTAGAGTAGAAAGAGAAGATTGTTTACCACTTGCTGATGAAAATCGAGGATGATTATTTGTTATTAACGGTCCATAACCATTGCTGGCTTTATCGGATGTTGGTGGTGGAGGTGGGAAATTAATACTTCGACGTCGAATTGAATCATAACTTTCAGATAAATCAACAGGATCAGATATTTGACGTTGTATTTCAGGTGCATATGGTTCACCACCTAATTCACGTTTTCGTTTACGTTTTAATTGTTTTGGATCTTTTGTATAAAATGTTTGCCATAATTGATTGATAACCTGAGAAAAATATAATCAAATCTTTGTTTTTTCTATGATATTATAAACCAAATAAATTTACTTCAGTACAAACAAAATCACTTGTATTTGATGAAAGTAAACGAAGCATAAATATTCCATCTGGTTCAAGATAACCAAAAATAAATTCTCTATACCAATCTTTAACATATTCTGGTGGTTGAGAATTAAAATCAGTATCACGTTTCATTAATTGTAAACGTCGTTTTATATAATTATATTGTTTATCAGGAAAAAAACGTGTTACCCATACAACAACATCAAATATAGACTAACGAAAAACAAAATGAATATAAATATGGGTAAGATAAGATCAGAATTGAAATCAACATATTTTCATTGGGACTGATATATTGTATGGGGTCGTGAAAGGCTTGCGTCAAATATCATATTTTCACAACTCATGTATTCGAAAATTATTCAGTAGCGATGACTTTAGTATTTTTCTCTTATAATTTTCATAGGAAAATGAATCCTTTTTTGTAAACGATAGAGTTGTCGAAGGCATAAACGTGTAGAATAGACGAAGTATCAGTGAATTAAAAAGGTAATGAATCTCGAAGATATAGGACATATGGACTGTGTAAGAATGTCTTGAGCGCATTGACACTACAAGAAAATAATATCACATTTTTCGCTAGTACATGTATTACTAAGCGCGAAGTCACAACCAAAAATTTTCTTCTTATCGAGATCGGGACCAAAAGCAACTGATTTCACTCATATCAAGCATGCAATAAATGAAGAATACATACGACTATAAAAACCATCATATACCAAAACCAAATAAAAGTAAAAATCTAAATAATAAATATAATCGCTATGTAAACATAGGATAATGAAGATAAGTATTTACTTGTTGTGAGAATAAATTGAGAGGAAGAACACATTGTACTGTATAACGATGTGAATCTCGTGGATGAAGTGCTTCTCGAATTTGAAAATCGCATAATGTTACTTTTGGAAAGTATCGTGATTGTGTATCCCAACCTATAACATACAAAATTAAATTTTTCTTAAAAAATCTCTGATGTTTTTTTAATACCTCGTCCTTCAAGAATTCTTTGAAGTACTTGTATTCCAAATAAATGAAATTCTTGTCCCAAAAATAAATTCAATAAAAATATTTGACAAACAGCATTCGTTATAAAAAGTGCTTTCGTTGTAAAATAAACAATAATTAAATAATTGCCCAAATATTTGCCCATAAATATGCATACTGTCATAAATATACGTTTTATACTAATACGATCACCACGTTCATCAGCTTGTCGTCTTGGATCATCAACATATTTATCAATAGCTTCAACAATATATTCCATTAATTCTGCTTTATGTTTATCATCTTTTGTTGCTGTATCAACTGACTTATAATTAATAGCTGCATCAACAATATCACGTACATCAATACCACTACGTCGTGATAATGAACGCCAAACAATATGTGGAAAATAAAAACAAAATGCTTGAAGAAGTAATATAAATGGTATCCATTGATAATAACGTAATTCATGTTGGCGTCTTTCTCTTTCGATTTTTGGTACTTTTTGTTCAAGAGGAATATAATAAGTATTTGATACCCAACATATATCGTTAACATATTCCTAGAGAAAAAGAATTTCAATAAAGATTCTATTCAGATCAATGTTTCGAAATACAATATGACAAACTGCTCGCTCCTTTTAAAGAAATCTGCACGACCTTTCCGATATCCGAAAATTAAGTTTGGACGAGCTTTAGCGCACTACATCTTAGTCAAAGTAGAAACGAAAATTATTTCAAATATATCAAATGAAAGAATAAACAATTCTCTATAAAATGTTATACTAATGATTAGCTTGTTACGAGTCATTTGTCAACAGGGAGTATTTTGGGTAAGGAACTCCGTGGCAATCTAGTTAAATTTCTATGGAAAAAAAGCCTTGACAAGTGAGCTCGTCCATTTCTAAAAGTCTCGATTCTTATATCATTATCTTGCCATTAAATGATCGACTCATAACTTCTAAAGAAGAAGTCAATCAATTGAGACGGATATATTCAAGAACTTTCATTTACAATAAAATAAATATATATTTACCTCATAATTTTTCGTGAACTGAGCCGGTACCCAACCTATAATAAATAAAAAAAAAATTCATCTTTCAAATTTTTATACAAATTATTTTTCACTTACATTGTATATGTTTCGTACCAAATTGTTTATTAGTTACAATAATAGCAAAAAGAACAAGCATTAAAACGGTATATTTATACGAAAGACGATCAGCGAAACTATCATCACAACGTGATGCGCCGAAGACAAGTGATGGTAAACGTGTAACTATACCAATGATATCCATTATATTAGATCTGAAAAAAAGAGATCACACATCTTGTTGTAATAACAACAACAACAAAAAAAAACAGTAATAACAAAAAAACAATGAAAGAAAAAATTAATCATCGGCCATTGAATCGTCTTCTTTTGTTTTCTTGTCTATTTGTGTTGTTTCAGATTCTAAATAATCAACAACAAACCGAAATTTTTCGAAAATTCGCAATAAAAAAATAATAATAAAACCTTTTTTATTGCCTTGTTTTGTTGAATATTTTTTTAATTTAGCAACAAAAAAACCATCCAAATTATGTAAATGTGGATAATATCGACGGCAATATTTCATACATGGATGAAATGATGTACCTTTGAAACTGGAGATTAAAAAAAACACGATTAAACATAATAAAATAAAGTCAAACAAAGGAAAATTTATTTTTAATATACCTTGTAAAACCTTCTACACCAAATTCTAAACCTGTTTCAACAAGTTTTACTGGTCGATTATTTAATGCATATTGTACTACAGCTTCATTTTCTTCAACCTATTTGAATTTAAAATTTTTTAATTTTCTTCTTTTTAATCTATTTATCTTACTAAGATTGAACAAGTTGAATAAACAATATATCCACCAGTTATTGAATTTTCATTAATAGAATCGATTGCATTTAATAGAAGTTGACGTTGAGCAGTAAAACATCGTTGAATATCTTTTTCATCCTAATATTAATAAAATTTTCATCATATTTTGATTATATTTCGATAAGAATTTACTTTAGAACTTTTAACTGCTGGATCTTTTGCTATAACACCTGCACCACTACATGGTGCATCAACAAGACATCTATCAAAACCACCCATATGCTAGAAAGAAAACGTTCAAATTATGTAATAATAATAAGATGAAAATTAAAAATTCTTGATCATCGGTATTGTGATTTAAGTGAAAAATCGCCCAGTTAAGGCCACCCCCCTCAAAAATGTCGAGTTTCGTCAAAAAAACGAAATTTGAGATAAATGCATAGCTGAATAGTATGTTACCTGAATAGTAAGAATCCATAGGATTTTCGGGCTTAGTTCTCTAAAAAACTGGGTTTTTCGCAAAAAAGTGTATTTTCGGCACCATACATAGATTTTTTCAAAAATTGTTTTATGTTTCTCTCAAAATGGTGGTCAAATGACGCATCCCCACCAAAAGTCAATTATGATCCGATATGGAGTCAAATATTTTT